TTTTTTGTGATTTTTCAAGTGGAGTCCCGAGATTGTTTTGTGTCGTATATTATAAATAGAAATTAAAATACTTTATGAAGAAAAGTTGCGTAGGAAACTACATATAAGCTCTTATTTTAGAATTTAAGATCATTCTCAGAAAATGTTATTTCTAACTTAAGCATATCTGTCATGATTTTCATAGTCTCTCTTCTTAATGGGTAGTACATTAAAATATGTTTACTAAATTTACAATTATAGCTACAGAATAAACATCGCAATGACCATAAATAATTATTATTAATGAAGTATGTTTTTTGGTCCATTAATTTTTTTGTTTACATTTAATATTTATATCAAAGACTTGACAGAATTAATAAAATGCAGTGGACTATTATAGAATAATAAATATATTAACAATAAAAGATGAAAATCTTAAACACGTTTATATTTGACATGATAATAAATTAATGAAAGTAAAACACAATTGAAAAATTTTAAAAGATTCATCTCGATCTCGTGAAGAAACTATATATAACTTATAATCCATATTTGAATTTTCAGTCCCCCAACATAAAATTTATTACAAAAGTAACAGAGCAAATAAAAAATACTATTAACAACTTTATATATTAAAATAAAAATAGATTTCAACTTTACATTTATATGACCAAGCTTTAACATTGAGATTTAATTCCTCAAGTTTCATTTAAATGATTAAAAATATTATACATTTAAATAAACAGATAAAATCGAATCTTCATTAAATGACGTAAATAATATCTCTATAAAATACCAAGAATAAAGCATAAATATTGCATAATAATGAACGGTTAAGTAAAACGAGGAACGCATTTGAGAACACTTATTGGGATTCAAAATTAATAGTTAATTGCAACTCAATATCTTGTAATATTTTTAACATTAAAATTAGTGATAGATTAGATTAGATTAGTGACCTATCCTAATATTGCCTTTTCTCGTATTTGTTTATAAATAACTTCATCGTCGTATGAACTCCTAATATCAGATATTATTAAAATGTATGATCCATAATGAGATCTAATTTGCGAGTATTCTTATAATTGTCATAAAGAATTGAAATAAAAAAATGAAATTCCGATGTTTTTTTGGCCAAGGCTGCAAGTTTCTTTGTGAAAATATCAAATAAATGTTATATAATTATTAACAAAAGGTGTTATTTTGATCACTTTTAAGAATTTCAAAAAAAAGCAAATTTCAGATTTGCTCCATATATATTTTACTAGCTTTCCGCCCGCAGCTTCGCCGCGTGGAGTTCGGTTATATCGCGTTTCCAAGAGAACCTTTCAAAAGTCTGGGATAAAAACTATCCTATGTTCTTTCTCAAGGTCAACTCTATCTCTGTACCGAATTTCATTAAAATCAGTTCAGTGGTTTAGGCGTGAAAGCGTAGCAGACAGACAGACAGACAGACAGACAGACAGACAGACAGACAGAGTTACTTTCGCATTTATAATATTAGTAGGGATTTCAATATTTTTTTTCCTCTAAAGTAAACATTTTCATAAAAACTGCTAGAACAATTGTTGCTAGGTGTTAATTAATCTGTATGTATAAATTTTTTCAGCTTAAAATACAGACTTTGGTTTATAATTCCATCATAGTCGAAATTCGAACCACTGCGTCGGGATTATGTAGTTTTAAAATAAATAAAAACGCGTAGTATAATCCGAATAATATTAGTTTCATCTATGCATAAAAATATTGTAACAAACATGAATATATATGTAAATTTTTAAACTTTTTATATGTTAGTGATACAAGAGCTCACTAGCCATCGCGAATCAGAAACATCTACTCATGTGGGCGTTTGATCCCGAATATCTGTTGAGACTCGTACTTGACCTCCGGGCGATAAACACGGTCACATTACATCATCGTTATTTGGGACACACATTATATATAGCTGACAATTGATATTATTTCTCCTCGTTAAGATAATTATAGCATTATACATAATATTTTATTTGTTTCACTAAGTTAACTATAGATGAGACGAAACCTCTTAGCATTCAATGAGTTAATCGTACGAGTGTCGGGTCCATCGTTGTAGGAAGAGGAGCTTCAACAGTGACTGGGACTTACGACCCAGGTGTAGATTTAAGGGCTCCTATCTAACGTCCGTTATACGCTCATCTCCACTGTCCAAGCTCCTCTATCTACCAAATTTGAAAAGAACCTACTAGGGCTGCCTTCTAAATACGTTCCTAGAATGACTTTATATGAGTTCTGGACAGGCCCAAGTCTTTTATATTAAGTTGTAACACACGTAAACTCATGGTAGATTTAATATTCTTTGAACTTAATCCAACAAGAATGTATTGTGAATGCTATGTATGGAAAGTTATAACAAACTGTGCATTGTAAGTCCGTGTGTCGATGAGATCACTAACCGGTATGCCTAACACTGGTTTGTATAAACTACATACGAAGCGTGCCCTGTTTCGATTAAATATGAAGATTTATGACCAAAAAACTGTTGAGGATCTATCATGTCACTATCATGCGAACTGGGCGTAAACTTATTGTGAATACATACTCGAAATACGACTAAAAGTTATACATATATATGAATCATCTATTGAAATCTGACAATTACAACTATTCTGACAATCTAAATAAATAATTTCGTTAATTCAGTTCAAACTACATCCAAGGAAAGCATGGACATTTAATAGTTGATTATCTTCGTTTTAAATTAGTAACCACCTTTTTAGTTCATATTTTGGTTGTAGTAAATGTATTTTTAAAAATAAACACTGTTCGTTTTGGACGAATCATATTTTTTGTTTATTGCTTAAAGAAACGATCTTAATCTTATATATATATATATATATATATGAGTACAACTTATGTAGAATATAAAGTTATGTTCAATATATTCATAGTTATAAGACATAATACGATAAGCGAGTTAGTAGCGGCTATTGGCCACGCGATCCGTTTCACCGACCCGAGAGTAGCCAGCTCGAACAATATAAAAATAATAAAATAGTCTTAAAAATATATGTTCTCATAAAAACATACATAATTTAAGTTACAAAATTAACCGAAATTTATAACCTTTGTTTAAAAAAACTGGTTAAATCCAAATATACGGTTCTATTTTGTGTTTATTGGTTAATTAGAACCCTAGTATTTCATAAGAATAATGCAATAAAATGATTTGTAGTTATAGATGGTATAATTGCACATGATTATGTTGATTTTCCTTTTACTAACAAAGTAGATAGATAATGTTTTAAACGTAGTTATTAATTATTATAGATTTTTTTGTATTTCATCTCATTCTCTGCATACGACTGAACTCTTAGTTTAGACAAGCAAATATTAGTAAATATAAGAAAAAAAGCAAAATAATGAACATACTACTTGATGTATGACAATAGCAATTTTTCTCATAATGATTATATTCAAAACTACTATCATTAATTTAACTCATACTGACAACGAAAACCCTTTCTTATAACTTACATAAATAAATTAGCTAAAGAACCACGGCTATCAATTTGAATGAATCGAACGAAATATGACATGTATGGATCAAAAATTAGGGACTACAAACGTCAAAACTGAAATAAAAGTATTGATATACATTCGTTTTAAGAATCATATAATTTTGATTCACTTATAACAAATAAATCATAATTATAGCATTCATTCGAAGAAATGAACGTTTATTTCGTGTTTTATTAACCATGGACACCATTGAATGAATTTCAACGAAACGACGCATAAATAAAGTCGAGCCACTTGCATGAGGATGACATCATGCAATTATTTTTTGTACACAGAGCAATGAAAATGCAGAAAGTGTACATTAAAGTGTACACATATATGTATATATACTAAAAATATTGAGGTTTTCAATCAAATTAAAATGCCGAATTAAATACGAGACGGATAATAAATTGATTATGTATTATGTTTTAAACATAAAAAGTTATTCAGTTATTAATTTTAATTTAAAGCTGGGATGTTTATAAGTATAGGAACTATAAAAATCATAGACATTAATTATTTGAACTAACTCATCTATCGTGTAAGCATGGTGATGTCATAATTACTCATAGAAACTAATTATCACTTAAACAATTAGAGATGGGCATTCAGTTTAACAATTCTTGTACAATGATTTTCACTAAAATTATTTTCAAAATAATATCGTAAGAAATAATATGTATATATGTGAGAATCAAATGTTTTTAATTAAGCGAATGATGTCATACATTAAAATTATTTTAATAACAAAAAGGAAAAGAAACATTTGTGACACATAAATAGATAAAAAGTAACCTTTAATATTCAACAAGTGACAACTGGGTCATCTTTATAAACAACTGATACTAATATGTCATTAATAATAATAATGTGTCATTATTATTTAATATTTATATATAATTTTTTTCTTTATTGCTGTCCTAAAATTATTTGATTTCTACCTATGCTATTTTTCGGTCGGCCGATTAGCAAAAAACCTGTAAGCGAGCTAAGATAAGATAAGCAATCGTTATGTCACTATTATTAAAATTTCACGAAAGAGATAAAAAAAATTCGGTGATTACTATCTGACTTGTTTGAAAATCTTTGTAAGTTTTGTTTGGTTTAAATATTTGGTTGTCAAGGTTAAGAATTCTACTATTATTGTTGTGATAATCCAGTGTGTACTTCTATGGCCGGTTGATCTATGACGTATCCTGGATGCATACTGAATTTCAACGAACCTAACTCTTTGCTTTGTGAACTTGATTATTGTTGAAGACCACTTAAACGTGCCGCTTTAGGATTTTATTGCTCTATTATGTCCGTTTTGTAAAAGACATAGATAATTACAGTTCTCGCATAATTTGCCTACACAATATAATGTATATATATTTTAATGGAAGCTTCAACAATCAGTCGCAGAAATTCAAATTAAGTTCCATTAAACCGGTTACACATCCGATGACATCAACTTGACCTTTACAATTATTATTTACCTCGTATTTCTGCGATGTGAGAATCGTATTCCGATTTGCTCCGGACATAGTCCTTTCTGGGAGCCGTGTGTAAGGTGTGGTGCTTGTACTCCGAGTACCACTCGTGGGGCGAGTCGGGCCGGTCTTCGGACTTCAGCTCGGTGACCGTCTTCTTGACCGTGACCCTCTCGAACCTGACGAAGCGCACTCCGGCCGCCAGGTCGCCCTCCTCGACCTGACGCTCCGCCGCCTCCTCAGGCTCCACATGCCGCAACTTCAAATTAGGGAAAGGAGTTTCGAAACTCTTAGACGGCGACTGGGTGTCGCGCGTGTGTTTCAACTTCACTTCAATTTTCGGCGACTCCGGCCGCCGTTTGCGTTGTTCTATTTTACGTTCTATTTCGTCCACATCGGTAGTGGCTTCCACTGAGTCTCTCTTGGTGCGTCCGGACCACACTCTCTCGAAGAAGCTGACGCGGTCACGGAGACCGCTCTGCGACGGAGAGTCGCGGCCGTCCGACATTTCAGCATGACCTCCTCCAGCGAGGGTTCGCTCGATACTGACTCCTGTTCGTCAAGTGCGAAGGCTCTGCGCCGACGCGAGGCCCACGTGCGACTAGACGTCGCCCAGACGACCACTGAACGCTTCTCTTTGAAAGCTCACTGAGCTGTTTAACTTTTTCCGTACCCCACTGACTTAATGACCCTTTTCAATGACTCCCGTTGACTTGTATTGTAAATGGAATTTAAGTTTTTACTAACTTATCACTCAGACATACACTTAAAATTTTACTTACAGTACATTATACGAGTATTTTATGATATTTAACATACGATTTTTCCTTATTATGAATACAATTAGGGAAATAACCAATTAATTTAACTGTAACAAAGTATTTATCGAGTGAACTTGCAAGTTAAGTGACGAGATTAAATCTGCAAGATAAATAGCGATATGGAACCCTGTTACAAGTAATTTAACGTTATCCATACGATAAGTGGAATCAATCAATGACATTATAAAACCCAGTTCGATAATGAATGCTCTGGATATAATGTCATCTGAAATTAAATAATTTGATAGCATCGTTTGAAACTAATAATAATAATTGAACGTAATTCAAACTTTAAGTTTATCTATTAATGTAAGTGCTGATCTTAATCGTATACATCAACTGTGGTCCGTTATTTATTGTTCTGTCAGTCTGTGCTCCACTTGACAGTTGACATGTTGACAAACAATGACAGCATGAATAGTGTGTCGCAAGTCTTATTTTAAATTATTTACTTCATAAAATACTAGTTTCACATCCCTTCTTTGCTCGAGTTTGCATAAGTTTTGTTTTATGTTTACCTTTTACTTATATATTTTTTAAACGAAATGATGGGGTATCATCATTTCCAGCAATAAATATGGCTTGTTACTCAGGCTGAATGTTGCTTTCCAGTGGTGAAAGAATTTTTTTTAAATCAATCCAGTAGTTTTTGAGTTTATTCGTCACAAACATATACACAAAAAAACAAATTCTTCCTCTTAGTATAGATCGACCATATACCTTTTTTAAAAATATATCACAGAATATTATATAACTATTTCATTAACTTTGTAAGTTTTACAGTTTTTGGTATACCTTATAGGAACAAATCCATTTAAATATAAAAATAAAAATGAATGTATTCAATCTAATTGAGAAGGAACGATACGATACGATATTTTGAGTCAGTTAATAAATAATAATTATTATTTCTTGTTGGAAGCGTAACTTTGACGAAATTTCAGCTAAGCTATTAACTTTTTAAATTTCCAAAAATGGTTTTTTTCATAATCATAATCACTCAGTTTTTTTTACAACTAATTTTAATATAATATTATTATAATTTATTTTCATCGCCTTAAAAATTTTATTCCAACAACCCAGTATTATATTAACCAAGTACCAACGTGTATTTTACTACAATTGCGTAAATAGAAAAAAGATTTTATGACTTTTTTATTAAAGTAAACATTGCCATTGTATATACATGTACAATGTACATTCAAGCCACTTGAAGTGAACGTATTTATAGGCCCATGGTCTTGCCATATTTGTAGAATAGAAACAGAATTGACAATATTTTATAAGTTTCTAGTAAACTTAACAACTACGTTAGGAACGATAATCATATCTTATAGGACTGTAAATATTGCAATAGGAAGAGTATGTACAAGAATTTATTAACATAATTTTTGTGTTATCACGTATAAAGGAGATTTAAACCATATTTCAGACTTCACGATAGAAGAAAGGTCTAGTTTTGTCATAAAAAAACTGTTTTAACTTATATCTAATATGAATTTTTTGTTTGTAAACACCAAACCTCTTACACAATGAAAGAACCCTTCCGAATTCATAATAAGTAATTTGGATCAAACAGACCGTATCCCACTCTGGCCCCTTTCGAAATCGTAATCTTTAGTCATTTATAACTTTAAGCATACAATAATATCATAAATGGGTTTTATCTTTCCTTCTTAAAATTCCTAGTGGATCGCTTTAAAGACTTTCTCTTTGTAACTAGGAATGGAGGCTTATAACTTTTCAAACACAATCTGCAATACATCCCACGAAGTACTGTAATGATCGGAAAAGTCATTTATCATCGCCTCCAAGACGTCAGGAGAATGTCATTAAAAGAAAGTATCTATTGATTGCTTCATATTAAACTATAGTTATAATAAGTATAACTATTTATTTATTATTATATAAAAAATATCCCCGTCAAAATGTTTCCAATAAAACAAAGAAGTGATTTAAGAAAACACAAGTAAATATTTGTATTATTATAATAGGAAGCGCGCCCTAAGGACTTGGCAGATATTAGCAATGTAAAGTTCCTTGAACCCGTCCGTCTTATCTATATACACTTAATTCAATTTAAACCTTATCACGAAGTGTTAGAATATATTTTAAAGAGATAAATATAGACGATATCTTAAACTAATCAAAAGTCGTGGGTGTGGAACGAATACGAAACGCGTCTACACAAAAATATTATTATTTTAATAATAAAGAATTATTTGCTATAATCCCTACTAATATTATAAATGCGATAGTTACTCTGTCTGTCTGTTACGCTTTCACGCCTAAACCAATAAACTGATTTTAATTAAATTTGGTACAGAGATAGAGTTGACCTTGAGAAAGAGCATAGGATAGTTTTTATCCCAGACTTTTGAAAGGTTCTCTTGGAAACGCGATATAACCGAACTCCACGCGGGCTAAACTGCGGGCGGAAAGCTAGTTAAAACTATATTTCTATAATAATATAAAAATAACGTATAATATAAAAATAACCATATATTTCATAATATTAGAAAATACAATCGTATCAAATCTGGTTTTATATATTTAAGACCGGTCTGTCTGGATGCTGGTAACATTGTGCCGTCCTCACGCTGGGTACAGGACCATACTCATTAACATAACGATAAATATAAAATCACTTTGTATTTCTCGAATAAACTTTATAATTTTATGTTAACAAAGCTATTTCGTTTAACTAAGTATACTTAGGTACATTTAAAATTAAATGTAGAAGCATATACTTTGTAAAATATGACGAAGGACCTTAGATTCTGGAAAAATATCCAACGTTATTTACTTATAAGGCTTTCAATATAAAAACAAGTTAAGGAATCTTCGAGGCTCTCGTGTTTTTGAGTTTTTCTTTTAAACATAATAATAACTATATTTAAAATAAATAAATGACTGTATTTTGAATAATAATGTAACGATACTATATGTAATGGTTCTACATATATCGATCAAAACATACATATATTCTCATTATGCATATAAAGTTACAAGTTTGATTTTCAAATAAATTATTTATCAATTTTGTGTTATACTATTTGTCAACAAAATAAGCAATTTCAAGAAATAAAATAAACAATTCGATTTTAATTTAATAATATTTTAATAACATTTTATACGCGTATAACAATCCTATTTTCACCGTTTCATGAAAAAATTTCGAAATAAATTACAATCAAAATATGAAGTAATTAAAAAGAAGACAAAAATAGAAAATAAGAATCTTTTTATAACTGTAAACAACAATTTTTAGGATTCCAATATTGTGATAAATAAAATTACCTATAAATTCAAAAAATATTTTTAAAGAGATGACAGATTAGCACTCAAAAATATGACTAATATTATATATCTAAGTCATTATGTACTATGGACTAGAAAATGTGATAGTGTATCATTTTTTTATAATAAAGAAACACGATAAGAGTGTTGCTACTATAATAATAATAAGTTGAAGGACATATATGGACTATCACCGAAGACACAAGATAATTAGACTATTGAAGGTGAGAAAAAATTTAAATTTATATTAAATCGATAAGAATAAATAAAAACATATTCTAGTTTTTGCACGCGACTTCGTCTGCGTTAGTTTCTGAATTATAAATGTATAACTGACTGGGCGAACTATATTCCTCTTTAAAGGCTGTAGATAAGAAGATTTTGAATATAATCAAGTTAGTATTTTTTTCTTTTTCAATCGGATGAAATGTATCCTATGTGATTTCCCTTGTTCGAAGCTGTCTCTTCACCAATTTTCATCCAAATCCAAGCCATTCTTGAATTACAAATAGTATAACTCACAAGACTTTATATATAAACATATAATATATTGTATATATAATAACGCCCACAGTCAGTGCTGGCAGAAGAAAACGCCAAGACGAAACCGGTTCGACAACATCTTATAGAAATCCGAGCGCCATTGTGTGCTCCAGAGTCTAGGTCATCTGACTATAGACTATACTTTGATATAAGTCAACTTATATGTGCTGGTATACATTTCAAAGATACATACTACAGAGCTTAATATGAATTGAACTTATTTAATAAACCTAAATCCTAAATCTATTTCATTTCTTCAAACAACATTCCTCAAAATATGTCGCGAAACATAGGTACATTCATGATATGACGCCCACAAAAATACAAAAGAAGTTATAAAGATCTGGTTTATACTTAATTTAAACAATTCTCTCAGTTCAGTCCCCAAAATATTTATACCCATACAATACATAATGAGATACCTTTCCATAGAGATTTTTTTGAGCCCAGGTAGGTGGTACCTTTATATCATATGCACAGTATTCAACAATGAAGCAAAACTTTCTTAGTTTCCTTGTGTTTGTGCTTGTAGTGGGAGCCAGCAGAACGTGACTAGTACGAGATGCGGGATCACGAAGTAACAGGATACCTTACAATACTCACAACTATTATATGTATTTTACAACTATCAACTTCATTATTATACGTTTAAGATTATAAAGAACATTATTCTTACTAACGACTAGTATTTAATTTATCATCCCAAATTAGATCGACGTAAACTCTGCTTTAAAATAAAAGTCTAAATACAACTATTTAATTCAAATAACTTAGAATTCACTATAAATTTGTTTAATTATACGGATCATTATAAAAAAAAACGTCATTAACCTTCTAGAAATAG